TCTGGGGCTCCTTGGCCTTCTCACTCCTCTTCTCAGGAAAGGACTGCACTCCAGAAAGGATGAGTTCAGCCCTTCTTTCTCCGTCAGATAGACAGCCAGTGACAAGGTGTTCGGAGCTCATCTGGGCACCTCATAAAAAGTCTTTTCATTGTTGCAGTGATGCCAGGCAAATCCAAAACTTGTTAATTCTGTACAATTTCATTTATTAAAATCATTTCTAGATTCCATACTTAAATATATTAAACCCAAATAAATATGGAAGACAGTCTTACAGGTGTGAGGAAAAAACTGTTGGTACATATATTCAAATTCAAATGTCATACATTTATGCAAAAACTGCAGGCTTACTTAAAATATATCCTTGCAACTTGTAAAAAGATGCAGGAATTCAAATTTAGATAATAGGGAAAAATTATGGAGTGTTTGAATCTAAAATACAAACACATAAAAAAACAGGAGCTCATAATCTAGAAAGACAGAGAATACATAAGATTTCAAACTTCCAAATAATTCAATGATAAACATCAAAAACCCTTATCATTTTCAATGAAAGACATGCAAAAGTATTTAAACTTTAAATATAAATATATACAAAGTTAAAAAGCACTATTTGGTTCTAAGTGTGTTGTTAACAAACAGAACATTTTCCCCCTCACTCAGCCATATGTAAAATCCATTGCTGGCTGTCAATCGCTCAAAGTTATTTTTCCATTCTTCCAAGGATTTTTATTTATTTTTTGTCGTTGTCGTTTAGTTGTGTCCGACTCTTCGTGACCCCATGGACCAGAGCACGCCAGGCCCTCCTATCTTCCACTGCCTCCCGGAGTTGTACCAAATTCACGTTGGTTGCTTTGCAGATACTGTCCAGCCATCTCATCCTTGGTCGTCCCCTTCTCCTCTTGCCGTCGCACTTTCCTAACATCAAGGTCTTTTCCAGGGAGTCTTCTCTTCTCATGAGATGGCCAAAGTCCTGGAGCCTCAGCTTCAGGATCTGTCCTTCCAGGGCTGATTTCCTTCAGAATGGATAGGTTTGTTCTCCTTGCAGTCCAGGGGATTCTCAAGAGCCTCCTCCAGCACCACAATTCAAAGGCATCAATTCTTCAGCGGTCAGCTTTCTTTATGGTCCAGCTCTCACTTCCATACATCACGACAGGAAAAACCATAGCTTTGACTATTCGGACTTTTGTTGGCAAGGTGATGTCTCTGCTTTTCAAGATGCTGTCAAGATTTGTCATCGCTTTCCTCCCAAGAAGAAGGTGTCTTTTAATTTCAGGGCTGCTGTCTCCATCTGCAGTGATCATGGAGCCCAGGAAGATAAAAT